ACCACTGATCGATCAGCAACCTAACAGCTAAAAGTTCAGTGGGCAATATCCGGCCCGCACAGTAGGGGGCGCTAATGTCGGTCGCAGCCGCCATTTAACCGGAACGAAGAAGAAGCAGAAGAAGAAGAAGAAGAAGAAGAAGGAGGAGCCGGAGCCGGAAGGAGAAAGTCGCGGTGTGCGCGGTCAGTCTCTCAGTTGAAGATGGCGGACACAGAGGGTGAGTGTGCTGCTCGTTCTCCTGAGAACATTTAAACTTTATCTTTATAACCTCTGAGTGAACCGGTTGAACTGCGCAGACTCAGTTACTGCCGCTGTTTGTTTGGCGCCGAACTGCACTGAGGAAACAGTCATTTTAATTCTAATCTGTGATATTCGGGTAAAGTATAAAGTATTTTTTAAGGAGTAACTATTGTTTCTGGGTCCTCACGCTGCGGTGGTAAGTTCGGCTGCAGTCTCATGCAGCGACCGTCGGCACTGCGGGGGCTGTGGGGGGGGGCTCTGCCTACACGCGCTCGCTACCTGCAGGAGCCACGTGCAGCGGCTCGCATTGATCGATATTTTGAGGCAGGTTCTGATCGCACTGATCAATAAACTGTTATTAATGTGGCAGCGGGGGAGTCACCGTGCTGCGGGTCCACGGGGGGGCACCGCACCGCACCGCACCGCACCGCGCCGCACCGCGTGTTTCCTCTCAGACTCAAAGTGACTGTCAGCTAACTGTTATTGGTGATTAATAACTGATCAGTATCGGATCGATCAGGCGCTCCTTCCATGGCCTCTATGCTGTAGATGCAAGCTCGTGATTATGGGATGTTCTGGTTGAATCGGTTCAGACCGGCCTGTTAGCTCTGGCTGTTAGCCTTATGCTAACAACCACGTGTTGTGCGACAGGCCACGTGGGCTGCTTCTCTTACCTAATCAATAATCACTATTGAACATAACTCAGTGAAATCGATCCAAAACGAATCCGGTTGTGATGAAGAAAGTATTTCTGATTCAATAACGTTTAATAATCAGTAAATTAAACATTTAGTGAATATAAACTAATATAATATAAAATATATAATATAAACTAATATAATATAAAATAAACTAATATAATATAAACTAATATAATATAAACTAATATAATATAAAATAATATAATCTAAAATAAAATAATATAAACTAATATAATATAAACTAATATAAAATAATATAAACTAATGTAAACTAATATAATATAAACTATATAACTGCTGTAATACTGTAAACGGAGTTTGGACGTCTGAGATTTGAACTCGTCGTCAGTATTTTTATTCTCATTGTTTAAATGTTTCAGCTGCATCTGCGAAGAAAAAGAAGAAGGTGAAGAAAGTCAGCGATGAAGAAGTCGGGGTGAGTGACGAAGAGCGAGCGGCTGACGTTGAGTTTGTTTCTGTGGATGAAAATTAAAGTTTAATTTTTTGTTTAACAGGAAATCCAACAGAGCGGAGACTTCTTCATCAAACCAGAGTCTAAAGTCGCCTCTCTGGACACGTCGCAGTGGCCCCTGCTGCTCAAGGTAACGCCTGTCTTCTGTGAGCCTGTCTGTCTGTGAGCCTGTCTGTCTGTGAGCCTGTCTGTCTGTGAGCCTGTCTGTCTGTGAGCGAGCCTGTCTGTCTGTGAGCGAGCCTGTCTGTCTGTGAGCGAGCCTGTCTGTCTGTGAGAGCCTGTCTGTCTGTGAGCGAGCCTGTCTGTCTGTGAGCGAGCCTGTTTCTGTCTGTCTGTGAGTGTGTGAGCCTGTCTGTCTGTCTGGCCTGTCTGTCTGTGTAGAGCCTGTCTGTCTGTGTGAGCGAGCCTGTCTGTCTGTGTGAGCGAGCCTGTCTGTCTGTGTGAGCGAGCCTGTCTGTCTGTGTGAGCGAGCCTGTCTGTCTGTGAGCCTGTTTCTGCTGTGAGCCTGTCTGTCTGTCTGTGAGCCTGTCTGTCTGTCTGTGAGCTCTGTCTGTCTGTGAGCCTGTCTGTCTGTCTGTGTGAGCCTGTCTGTCTGTCTGTGTGAGCCTGTCTGTCTGTCTGTGTGTGTGAGCCTGTCTGTCTGCCTGTCTGTCTTCAGCGTGTGAAGTGATGAATCAGTTTATCCATTCTCTGAGCGGCCATCTTGTCGCAGTCTCCGCCTCCGCTCCCGTTCTGGGGGCGTGGCCTCTCGGCCGCGGTGCCGGCGTCGTCCCGGCGTTCTGCTGGGACGACAACCCGACGCCGCGCGGAGAGAACGACTCGACTCGAGCGCCGCGAAGACGATTTACACGTTCTGATCACACGATGCTGAAACTTCACAATAAGAGCGAACATTGACTTCCTGTCTGACTTCCTGTCCACGCAGCAAACACCAACGAAGAAGTCGTCTGACGTTTGATTTTTACTTTGTTGCAGAATTTTGACAAACTGAACATCCGGACGGCTCACTACACGCCGCTCGCCAACGGCAGCAACCCGCTGAAGAGAGACATCCAGGACTATGTCAGGTAACGTCACGTAAATGCTACGCTAACACGCTAACAACGTTCAAACCGCCGTGTGCTGAGGCTACTTCCTGTTTCCTGTCAGGTCGGGCTTCATCAACCTGGACAAACCGGCGAACCCGTCGTCCCACGAGGTCGTGGCGTGGATCAGGAGGATCCTGCGGGTGGAGAAGACGGGTCACAGCGGGACGCTCGACCCGAAGGTCACCGGCTGTCTGATCGTCTGCGTGGACCGAGCCACGCGGTTGGTCAAGTCCCAGCAGAGCGCCGGTATGCACTTCCTGTTTGTTACCGTCAGAATAAAAGCTGTAACTGTCTCCACCCGGCTGGCAGGCGTGTGAGCACAGTAAAACCCAGCGGCCCCCCTCACTACTCTCTGTGTGTGTTGCAGGTAAAGAGTATGTGGGGATCGTTCGGCTGCACAATGCGATAGAGAGCGAACACACGCTGGCTCGGGTGAGTCTGAGGTCCTCTGCTAAAGCTAATACTGAAGTATTGATCAGAGTATTGATCCGAGAGGTCAGGGGCTGAATGAATCGCTCCTGTTTAATTCGTAGAGACTGATCAAATTCGATCAGATGTTTCCTGAGATCGTTCAGCCCACCGCTCACTCTGATTGGCCGGCCGTGTGTCTGTCAGTCATGTGACCCATGTGATTCTCTGCAGGCACTGGAGACGCTGACCGGCGCTCTGTTCCAGCGGCCGCCGCTCATCGCCGCCGTCAAACGTCAACTGAGAGTCCGAACGATCTACGAGAGCAAACTGATCGAATACGACCCCGAGAGGAGGCTGGGTAAGATCCTTATCAATAATCAATATATTAGAGGAGGCTGGGTAAGATCCTTATCAATAATCAATATATTAGAGGAGGCTGGGTGAGGTCCTTATCAATAATCAATATATTAGAGGAGGCTGGGTAAGGTCCTTATCAATAATCAATATATTGGAGGAGGCTGGGTAAGATCCTTATCAATAATCAATATATTGGAGGAGGCTGGGTAAGATCCTTATCAATAATCAATATATTAGAGGAGGCTGGGTGAGGTCCTTATCAATAATCAATATATTGGAGGGGGGGGTCTTAATTTAGGTCTTTAATAATCAATATATTGATGAGGCTGGGTAAGATCCTTATCAATAATCAATATATTGGAGGAGGCTGGGTAAGATCCTTATCAATAATCAATATATCAATATATTATGAGGAGGCTGGGTGAGATCCTTATCAATAATCAATATATTGGAGGAGGCTGGGTGAGGTCCTTATCAATAATCAATATATTGGAGGAGGCGGGGTGAGGTCCTTATCAATAATCAATATATTGGAGGAGGCGGGGTGAGGTCCTAATCAATAATCAATATATTGCAGGGATCTTCTGGGTGAGCTGTGAGGCGGGAACTTACATCCGGACTCTGTGCGTCCACATGGGTCTGATGCTCGGGGTCGGAGGTCAGATGCAGGAGCTGAGGCGGGTTCGGTCCGGCGTGCTGGGAGAGAAGGTGAGCGTCACTTCCTGTCCGCGGTGACATCATCAGTGCGATTCCAAGTGTTGAGTCCAGTCCGGCTGCTCGGTGCCGGTCTGGTTATTAAACTTTGGAACAGGAACCGCAGCCGAGGCCGCGGATGACATCATCGGTGAATCACCTGTGGAGCCTCATCGCTGCTGACATCATCACGACATCATCACGATGTCACTGTTAGCATCTTAGCATTTACCTGAAGGTTACCTCACTGCTGCTTTATAGTTTATCAGGCGCCGGTTAATTGATCTGTGATTGGTTAGAGCCACGAACTGATTTATTGATCCGTTGGCTCCATACGATATGACATCATCACCCGGCGCTCTTTCCTCCGGTAGGACCACATGGTGACGATGCACGACGTCCTGGACGCACAGTGGCAGTTCGACCACAACAAAGACGAGACGTACCTGAGGAGGGTGATCTTCCCGCTGGAGAAGCTGCTGGTGTCTTACAAGCGTCTCGTGATGAAGGACAGCGCCGTGAGTCTTCCTCGCCGCACGCCGTCTGTCCCGTTTATTAAGTACCTGAAACTGGACGCTGACTCTCTGAATGTTGTCGTCTCCAGGTGAACGCCATCTGTTACGGGGCGAAGATCATGCTGCCGGGCGTCCTCAGGTACGAGGACGGCATCGAGCTGAACCAGGACATCGTTGTCATAACGACGAAGGGCGAGGCCATCTGCACAGGTGAGTCGCTGAAGCCTCACCTTGTGTGTGTGTGTGTGTGTGTGTGAGCCACATGATGAGTCGAGTAGCGTCAGTAGCTCTCGGGCTGTGATGACCTGCTATCTATCACCCTTTTCTGATGGCTTCACTCAGAATCAGAGCTTAATCAATAATCTGATCACATAATAATGAAGCATGGATAATCAATAAGTCGTCATTCTCCTCCAGCTGTTGCTCTGATGACGACCGCCGTGATCTCCACGTGTGACCACGGAGTCGTGGCGAAGATAAAGAGGGTGATCATGGAGAGAGACACGTATCCTCGGAAGTGGGGTCTCGGACCAAAGGTATGTGGGCGGCTATTGATCGCCGATCAATGAGTTATTGATTCCTGTTATTGATTCTCTGTATTGACTAGTTTCTGTTCAATCAGGCGAGTCAAAAGAAGATGATGATTCAGAAAGGACTCCTCGACAAACACGGCAAACCGAACGGCAGCACGCCATCCGACTGGAAGAGCCAATACGTGGACTACAGGTAGCTGGGGGGGCGGGGCTTGTGCAGATAGGGGCGGGGCTTACAGACAGGTGCAGACAGTTATCCCTCACCGAGCTGACGTGCTCTCTGAGGGAGTCAGTCTGCGACAGCAACATTCAGGTCGAGCCTCCTCGCTCCGCTGTTCGCTGAGCGGCAGCTCACCTGGAAACAGTGATGTCATCAGATTGACCTCAGCAGTGATGTCACACCGACAGCGGTGACATCACTGCTGTTAATGTTCAGTGTGAATGTTGAAATCAAACATCTTTAAAATGTTAATGCACCTTTTATTTATTCACAGCGTCTCCAAGGCGACGGAGGAGTCATGTGACACTTCAGCAAAGGTAAACTCACCTGCCTGCCTGCGGGCGGGGGGGCGCTGTTCGCCTGCCTGCGGGCGGGGGGGCGCTGTTCGCCTGCCTGCGGGCGGGGGGGCGCTGTTCGCCTGCCTGCCCTTGTTTATTTGTTAAATAGCTTCAGATTGATCAGAGATATAACCTGACCTTTGACCTCTGTTTCGCAGAGGAAGAGGGAAGCGACAGAAAGCGACGGTGAAGCTACGACGACGCCGAACACGCCGTCTGCAGAGGACGCCAAGAAAGAAAAGAAGAAGAAGAAGAAAGAGAAGAAAGCGAAACTGGAGGAGGCGGAGCCTGAGGAGCTGGAGGCGGAGCCTGAGGCAGAGGTGAGGTTGAGACCGTAGCGGCTCCGTCCTCGTCTTCGGTTTGTTTTTATGTGAAGGCTAAACCATTGTTTGTCCTTCAGGTTGAAAGTGCCAAAAAGAAGAAAAAGAAGAAGAAACAGAAAGAGGACGACACGTCGGAGTGACGACGGATCAACAGGTGAACAGGAAACTGTCAGTGACTCCACCCACCGACACACCTGTTTGAATGCAAAGCATTCTGGGAGTTTATTAATGGACTGCATGAACGCAGGAAGAGGACGTTTTTTTGTTTTTTTATACAAATCTTATTTTATGTTTTATTTTTCCGCTGTAAATACCTGAACAGGAAGACTGTAATTTCAAAATAAAAGTCTTTGTTTTCTGTATTTGTCATCTTCAGTCTCTGAGATAACGAACTGACTTCAGACCGATCAGAGGTTAAAATTAATATTAGTGCTGGGCAACGATTTAAACTTTAATGTCGATTAATCAGTTACGCAAAATTCAATGAATTCAAAAGAAGTGTATTGGGCACTTTTATTTTGAAAGTACTGCTATATAAACAAAAGTAAACAACATTTGGTTTGCACTTAAACACAACTTTATACTTTAAACAATGAAGTTTCTTTTTAACTGCAGTATTTCCTTTACACCGTAGCGGTTACAATAAAAGGATTGTAACTGTATATAAATATAAACACACTGAGCACAAACTGTTTATTACAGCATGTGAATGCAGCTCCCTGTGTCCATCAATATAATGCACTGTAACTCAGAGGTTGCTATGGTTACCCAGCGATGTCCAGTAGTCTCCAGTGAGAGCAACAGTTGGTGTACGTTGTAACGCCGTCGCTTTGTAGTCCTCTCCTTTTCATACAACTCGTGCATTGTTATGGTGCGTCTTGAAGGAGGCTCATAGTGCTGTCATTGGTTGTGATCCTATCTTCTACAATACTATAATATATTATAACATTTTATATCAATCTTCCACAATACTAATCAACCTGCAGTTTGAAGCTATCCACTCACTTCAGCGTCTGTTAGCTTGTTTTGCTTTTGTTAATCTGTAGTTCTCCCACATCCACTCCTCTCCTGTGACCCCTGGTTTGTATTCAGAGCCAGTGAGCAACATATATATATTGTATTATCTTTTAGTGAGCAATATATTTATTATATTACAGTGAGCAACAGACTTTCAAAATAATGTGTTAACGTGATAACTTTTATGGACATCAGCTGATTAACTTAAAATAAGTGAATAATAATCAATACCACCAGATCAATAAAGTTTAACTGAGCTAAAATCATTTTGACCAAAATCTCATTTAAGTTGTGTTGGGAATAAGAAGTGATTTTAGTGACCACAGATTTGTTTCTACTTCACATTAAATCTGAAGCGCTGGTTCCCAACCTGTGGATGGGGACCCTGCTTGGGGTCGCCAAAGCTTCACTGGGGGTCAGGAGGTCTTCGTGATTTCAAGGGAAGAAAACTAAAAATACACAATAAGCGATAAATGAGTTCATTTAACTCAAATTGAAACCTTACACAGAAAATGTAAGTAAAACTAACTCAATTAAAAGTTAAACATTTTTGATCACGTAGCTTTTGTTTAAGTGACACTGACTTCATTTTGAAATGTGTTTATTGTGGAAAGAAATACCCAGAAAATACACTAATGTTTTTTAACTCACAAAATCTGTCTGATTGTTAAAAATGATAAAAATACAGAATTAATAAAAATATCAGGAAAACTAATCTGATCAATATTCACAGGAAATAATCAAACTTCCTTCAGTTATTGAGTTCACTGATTGGTTCATTGATCAGTAACTGAACCACATTCAGAAGATCATAAAGTTAATGATAATACAATTATTGATTTCGCCAGCATTCACTCGGTCTGTTCTTCCACATGTTCAGATTGTTTTTAGTTATTTTATCTATGATATTAATAATCTGAGAGATTAATTTAGAATCGGCGTCTATGCATAAAGTATTCAAACATGTTACCAGCAGTGCCGCCATGTGGCCATTTAATTCAATTTCAGTTTTATTTGTATAGCTCCAATCAGTGGCGAACAGTGAGCACTACGGCTGGGCCTTCACCTCGGCCATCACGGCCGAGAAAATAAATCATTGCGGAAAAAAGCAACAGTATGATGAATTGAAAGGGTTTAACAAGTGCAATCCTTTAATTAACAATGACAAGGATGTAAACAGATAGACCATAACGTCAATAACATTCTCCGCAACAAGAAACATTCTCAACATTAACTTCAGAAAACTGGAGACCATTTAGGCTGCATAGTTGAAGTTAAATAAATATACTCTAAAGCCAAAATCTGGAAATATAAAATTAGGTCACCTAGTATGTCACCCCGTGACGCTGCTGACACACACAGAGGCTCATTTCATCACCATGGACAGCGCTATGAAATGATTTATAGTTATAGTTATAACATAGGCATACCTTACGTGAAAACGAAGTCCATTCGTCGGTCTTTCTTTGTGAAATGGGCGATGGAGGCGTCATAAAGTTTGTACTTTGATTTGAGCTCCAAAAGAAGTCCTTTCTCTATGGACATCAGTGCCAAAGCTCCCAGGCGATCCTGTCCAGTACTGTTCCTGGTGTGTGTCTTGATGCACTTCAGAGCCAAGAAAGACCGCTCCACGGAGGAGGTGGACACAGGGATGGTCAGCACCAGGCAGGTGTGGTGTTACAGCTGCAGCATGCTCTCAGTCAGCTCTTTAAGCGTCAGAAAGTGCAGCAGGTCTGATGGGCTCCTTGCCTCAAAATTTGCCATGTTGTACATGACCGTCAGTTCAGTCTTGAGCCTGGGGAGGTCAAAATGCAGCCCGTAGTTTTCTGCGAGGCTCTGAAACTCAGAGTTGGGGAAGTTTTCTCTGTATGAGGCAAACTTCTTGGGGTCCAGAAGGGCAAGGAACATGAGTTTTTCATGATCCTTGAACCTGTTCTTCAGCTGAGTGAGAATGTTGTCCAGGATTTCACTGTGCAGCTGCTGGTACGCTGCGCGCACATCTCCAACTCTCCGTGCCCTGCGCCCGCTGGGAACCCCAACTTTGTGCACAGTGTCCTCATAGATGGCCTTTTCTCTTTTCTCTCTCTGTGGTGCTGCAAAGTCCTCAATGCTGGACAAACAGAACTGCATGTCATACTCCTTATTCTGCAAGATCCCAAAGAGTGTGAATGTGGCGAGGAGAAAGCAGAACTCGAAGCCAGTCAGCAGTGCAGTGTATCCATCAGCGCTGTGTACAGCATCATGATCAAGATCATTGTGGTTGTCAACAATGAATTCAAAGAGCTCCAAGAGTTCCTCTCTCCACTCATACACAGTGCAAACCAAACGTGATGAAAAGTTCCACCGTGTTAGAGTCACTTTGGGCAGTCTTCGCTGGCATATTTCATCCAGGAGTTTCGTGCGTTTGGCTGACTTTGTGAAAAAGGCTGCGAGGCCACTTAGATGGGAGAAAAAAATGTTGCACTCTTTGATTTTGGCAGCACTTTGAGACATGACGAGGTTCAGAGAGTGCGCATAACAGTGAACGAAGAGAGCTTGTGATATTTTTTGCTTTATTTTAGCTTGAACCCCATTCAGTACAGAGGCCATGACTGCAGCTCCATCGTAACACTGGGCAATTACCTTATTATTGCAGGCACAGTCCTCCAGAAACTCCAAAACTTGACCAGCTATGGCTTCTGTGCGCTTATCACCACTGACCAATCACCAAACTGGAAAAAGCGCTCCTTCACAACACCGTCAGTGGTATAACGCAGGACATGTGACATCTAGGCAGTGTTACTTACGTCAGTTGTCTCGTCTACCATAACGGAGACAAAAGGTATGTTCCTCACCTCCTCCCTCATAGCTTCGGTCATTACATCTGCCACAGATTGAATCAGGTCATTCTGAATTTTGCTGGAGGTGCCGATGAAAACAGTGGCCGAATCCAGATAACAACGCAGAGGGCTGTCATACCCCACCAAAAACTCCAGCAACTCAAAGTGGTTCCCCTTGTTTTCCGAATCTTTACTCTCATCATGTCCTCGAAATGCCAGCTCTTGCTGTCGAGGAAATGTGACGACATTGGTGAGACGTTTCAGGATCTCTCTGTTCTGCCTGACCTTGCCGTAGTATGATTACAGCGCTGCTCATCTAGCTGAAGATCAACTGTTGTGTCCCCAAAAGTTTTCAAACTGACCGTCGCTTGCAGGTGTGCTGCAGAATCTTGATGTCGGTGGGCTGACTTCGTCAGATTTGTAAGGCTGACGAATCCGCCGCTGACCCAGTTGGATGACTTGTCAGTCGTAAAAAGTACGTAAAGTTTGTTTTCTTACAGCCCGTCATCCATGGATATCGCTGATAATTTTCAGTCTTGAAATGCCTTTCCACTTTCTTAACCTTTTCTTTTAATTCCAGTTCTGGAGTTGGTCTTCCGTTTTTTATTATTTGAAGTTTTTCTGTGAAAGGCCGCCTTGAAAAAGGCGATGCTATCAAGCTAGCCACAACGTCACTCTCGTCTTCCGCCATTTAACTCTGTCTCTCAACCGCTCTCACCCCTCTGCAGAGATTCCGATGTTCGGACTTCATGAAGGCTTGCAATCGTTTGGTTTTTTCCCGCCCACTTGAAATCAAACCATGATTGGTCAATTTGCCCGTCACTCTCCACACCAAAACACATAGCTTGGCCTTCCCTGGGATTCGTGAAGTCCTAACCAATGAATGAGCCAGCTAACCGGGCCTTAATAGAGACAGACGATTCTGATTGGATAACATGTTTTCAGGATATGAACTCGACAGTAAGCTTAACTTTAGAACATAGATGAGAGAAAATGTATTAAATGTATTGTCTTATATTAAATGAGATAGAAATTAAAAAATTTAAAAATATACTTTATTATTAGAATGATTATTATTAAATTTATTTATTTATTCTTTTTAGGCCTTCTCTGAAGGCGTGGAAGGCCCTGAAGGTCCCCCACTGGCTCCAATTCATAACAGAAGTTATCTCAGGACACTTTTCAAATAGAGCAGGTCTAGACCGAACTCTTTAACATTATTTACAGAGACCCAACAGTACCACCATGAGCAAGACCTTGGAGACAAGGGCAAGGAAACACTGCCTGTTAAAAGGCAGAAACCTAGGACAGATCCTTCGGCTCTAGGTGGGTGGTCGTCTGTCTCGGGAACAGGATGGTGGAATTGAACTGTTTAGGCCACGCCCCTTTCGATTTTTTTTTTATCCATAAACGTCTTTAAAAGTTTGTGAGATTGGCTACAAGGGGGCGCTGCGGTCGCGATCGACTTCGGAAAGAACAAAAACATCCTGCAGACAATTAATCACTAACAAACTTTATTAAGACTCATATTCAATATCTTATCAGGACAAAATGTTTGATTCAAAAACATTATTATTAAATATTTATATTTAATCTTTTGAACTTCCAACTGTAAATGTGAAATTCAGCATTGAGCAACCTTACCCATAATGCAGCAGTGGTAGCAACTTACAGCAAAAAGGCACCTTGTTGATTATTTAAAATATTTATTAAGAACTTCAAACTGTAATTTTACCTGTAAATATAAAAGTCAGCGTTGAGCAATCTCAGCGTTACCCATTATGCAGCAGTGATATCAATCACAAATAAAAAGGCACCTTCGTTAACAACGTAATTTAAATATTTAACGAGAACAGACGCTGTTGTGACATCAGGCGGTCTCTGATTGGTCAGACACAGTCGCAGGTGAGTGGGTCTCTGTGTGAGCTGGTGATGACTCGGACTCTGTGATTGGTCAGTTTCTGCAGGTCGGAGATCAGCTGCAGCAGACGAGGACTCGGTTCGTAGACGACCCAGCTCGGGTCGGCGGGGTCCGGTCTGTAGTACGAGTCCAGAACCTCCAGAGTGTCGAGACTCTGCAGCTGCTGCAGACACAGGAAGTCGGCATCCGATACGTGTTGATGTCTGAAACACAAAAACAGCAGGTCACTACGGAAACCAGCAGGTCACTACGGAAACCAGCAGGTCACTACGGAAACCAGCAGGTCACTACGGACACCAGCAGGTCACTACGGACACCAGCAGGTCACTACGGACACCAGCAGGTCACTACGGAAACCAGCAGGTCACTATGGAAACCAGCAGTGTGTTGGTTTGATTCCTCCAATCACTGCGTCCGTTTTGTTTGTTTGATTTTAAACTGATAGAATGAACTTCCTGTGTGAATTCTTCAGGGTCATCATTGGAGTTAATCCAGTTATTGATTATTGATAATTGTCAATCTCATTCTTCCAGCAGTGACTCACCTGATGCGGAGCGTCCTCAGGTGAGGGAACAGCTGTGGAAGCAGTCTGACCAGGTTGGAGGAGGAGCTCCAGGGCTCCAGGTGCAGGTGTTCCAGGTGAGGAGCTCTGTGTGAGACCACCTGCAGGTCTTCAGGCTGCAGATCCACACAGAGAGTCAGACTGAGGAGGGAGGAGGGCAGGAAGTCAGCGTACGCCGCCAGGGGGTGGCCTCCTATTGGACAGACACAGTGAGGTCATCGTGACATCACTGCAGCTCAGAGGGCTGAGGCGGCGGTAGGTGAGACTCACCGTGCACGTTGAGGCTGTGAAGGTGCGGCAGTGACGTCAGCCATGTTTGCAGGTGACAGGTGGGTCCAGGTACAGAGTACAGGTGGAAGATGGACAGGCTGCGGAGGCGGGACAAAGGCTGCAGGACTTCCTGTGTCACCACGGCGTCGTAGTTCAACAACTGCAGGTCAGACAGCTGCAGAGCGCCACCTGCTGGAGGACACGCACAGCACACCTGTTATTATACCTGTTCCCCTGTGTGTGTTTGTGTTTGTGTGTGTGTGTGTGTGTGTGTGTGTTTACCTGTGAGGTGGGCGGGGCTGAAGAAGTCACGTGACAGTGTCTTGTAGGTGATCATGGTCCAGGACAGGTGTTTCAGCTCAGTCAGGTGAGTCAGGACGCCGCTGAGCGTTGGGACTCTCAGACTGCCGTCGTGGTGCAGCAGCAGTGAGGTGAGACGAGTCAGCTGACTGATGGCGGTCAACAGGTGAGAGGCGGGACAGGTGAGCTGCACATTACAGAGGCTGAGCTGCTTCAGCTGACGACTCAGAGGAAACAGGAAGTCGACATTCTTAAGCGGCGTGGAACAGGAAGTGACAGATAGACGCTGCAGCCAGCGGAACTGTTTCAGCTCATCGGCTCCTCCTTCCAACCAGTCGTCCAATCGCAGCGCGTCGAGAGCAGGAAGCCAGGTAGACAGCTGCTTCAGGTGTTTCCTCTTGCCTGAGTGCACTGACACACTGCCCACGTGCCTCTGAGCCAGGCTGCGCCAGAATGGCCGGTTGTATCGTGAGAAGTTTCGCAGCACGACGTTGAAACCTCGCCACAGGGGGCGGGACTTATCCAGCAGGTGTCTGAAGTGTGAACAGGTGCAGCGTACGCTCAGTTTGTCTCTCCAGGACAGGAAGCTGAACACCTGCAGCCACAGCTCGGCAGGAAGCTGCAGTGCTGACATCATCACAACCTCACACCACCGCCACCAACAGTCTGTATGGATTATTGATTATCAGTGACCTCTGATCACCTGCAGCCGCAGCTCAGCATGGAAGCTGCAGTGCTGACATCATCACAGGTAGAACAGGTGGACAGCACTGAGCTCTGGCTGATCAGCTCTGTGTATGGATTATTGATTATTTCTGATGTCTGATCGTACAGCTGTGACTCTCTTCGTCTCTGCTGCTGCTACTTCCTGTTGCGTCAGAGTGCAGAGAGTGTGTGTGAGCAGGGAGGTCTCACTCTGTTTCTGCTGAGCTCCACAGACACATCCTATAACTTCAGTCTGTGAACTCATCAATATTCTATCAATCAATTACTGTATCGGTCCCCACATGATGATCAATAACATAAATAATGAGATCAATATAGTTTAAAGATTAACTATGATATGTTTTTTAGGCTCTAGAGACAAAGATATGAAGCTGTGATGTTGGACAGGAGGTCTTACTCTGAGCTGTTTCTGTTTGTTGAATTAAAACTGATGTGACTACAGCAGAGAGTGTGTATTGTCAGCAGGATGTCTCACTCTGAGCTGTTTCTACTCTACAACAGCAGACACAGTGAGACCTCTTCACAATAAAAGATCCTGTGGTGTATGCTGACGTCACTGTCAGTAAATTACATAAAGGGAGACTCAGTCTGTCAGACAGTGTTTAATAACAGCCGTCTCCTCTGATGGCACTCTGATCAATAATTCATCAAAGATCTTACACTGTATTATATTTATGTACAGTTCATTTATAAAGTTGGATGAAGATGAAGCTTGTGAATATTAATAAACAAGTTACTCCATCAGTCCGATAACTTTAGTCCTAAAAGTTTGATTTCATTATGAATCTGTTTTAAATATAATATATATTTTTAATAACTCTGCTGCAGCGACTTCCTGTTTATTGGGATGAAGGTGGACAGTGTGGAGCTGTGACGGAGAGGAGGATGAGAGGAAGCTCAAAGACATCATGGACCATCATCCTCTTTACACTGAGCCCAGGCAGCTCAGGAGCTTTGAGCCACAGACTGACCCAGAACATAGCCTCGAAGCGGGTTGGAGGCCTCATACTCAACAACCACAGCTCCCAGTACCTCCTCAACCACAGCTCCCAGTACCTCCTCAACCACAGCTCCCAGTACCTCCTCAACCACAGCTCCCAGTACCTCCAACCTCCACAACCACAGCACCCAGTACCTCCTCAACCACAGCTCCCAGTACCTCCTCAACCACAGCACCCAGTACCTCCTCAACCACAGCTCCCAGTACCTCCTCAACCACAGCTCCCAGTACCTCCTCAACCACAGCTCCCAGTACCTCCAACCTCCACAACCACAGCACCCAGTACCTCCTCAACCACAGCTCCCAGTACCTCCCCAACCACAGCACCCAGTACCTCCTCAACCACAGCTCCCAGTACCTCCTCAACCACAGCACCCAGTACCTCCTCAACCACAGCTCCCAGTACCTCCTCAACCACAGCTCCCAGTACCTCCAACCTCCACAACCACAGCACCCAGTACCTCCTCAACCACAGCTCCCAGTACCTCCTCAAC